GAGCTCGTTTACACCCAAATCGTGCCTCGGGCTCGCTTACACCCTGCACATACCATACCAAAGGGCTCGCTTACACCTTGAAACCGCCGCATAGAGTCTGAATACATCCAGGTCAACCTAGGGGCTCGCTTAAACTGCTTACGCAAGACTTAACTCATTTGGTATTAACCCCATCATAATTCATGTCATGCATATGTATAAAATTGTTCTAAAACACTAAGATAACGTCACCCATTGCCAACCCCTTATCATTTCCCGTTTATTAGATCTTTTGCTAGGTGATTTAGTCACATTCGGTAATTTGGTCAATTAAACGAGTATGGGAAAAACATACTAGAGGAAATATAGTCCATGATCATCATACATAAGTACAGAAGTATAGTTAAGCAAGAAATAACATTAAAAAGGCCTGAAACACTTAGAGACAAATCACATAGTAGAACACAATTTCCAGCACCGGTCGGTTCTGTAGGGCTAACAAGAACGCTTTGGTAAACATACTTCTAAGTCAAATTAGGGGCTGAAATTGCACAGAAATAATAATTAACCTGTCTAGTTTCAATTCCAATTCACAGAATGTGCAAGCACCGGTCGGTTCTACAGGGCTAACAAGAACGCTTTGGTAAAAATACTTCTAGGTCAAATTAGGGGTTGAAATTGCACAGAAATAATAACTAACCTGTCTAGTTTCAATTCCAATTCACAGAATGTGCATAGCACCTCCAGAAATTCATCCACAAGCTATATTCAAAAACCTGTCCAGATTTGTCACCCATTGGGAAAACTAGCGTTTCTCTCAATCTACCCGATGGTTTTCACTCAAATAAAATCTGTTGGAAAGAGGACTCAGATTTCTAAATTTTGACAAAAGAACCAACACGAGATGATTTTTCTAGAATTTTATAAAATTACTAAAAGTGGACTGTTTTTCAGAGATTCAGGACCAGATTTTTCAACAAATTATCCAAGCCCTAAAAACAAACAATTAGGGGCTAATAAAATTGTCACAAGCTCTAAACACACCAATTATCTTACAATAAATTCAGATTTGAGAAATAGACAGGTTTGATATTTCTTTTAAATAGTAGAAATTGCAGCAGTGCATATTTTGAATAAAATTGTAAGACAATGTCACCAATTCACACCCACACATGCATACACACCAAAAACTCAATTTACCATTAATACATAACCCAAGGGAGCATCTTAATCTGAACCGTTCAGTGTGTAGAACTCGTCGAGTACTATATTTTGAAATACAAATCCCTAACTATCCCTATCTATCTAGCAAATCTACTTAACAAAATTCTTAGTTGGAACAAATAGCAATATGGTGAAGAACAACAAGGCTTGTGCTCTCCTCACTTGCTGCTTCCTCTTGATTTGGTTACTCTTCTACATTTCAGGTGGTTTTGCTGCTGCAAGACAACTAACCACTGTCTCTCAAATCGGTTTGTTCTCTCTCTCTCTCTCTCTCTCTCTCTCTCTCTCTCTCTCTCTCATCAATACTTAAGGGCAAGTTACACTAAAATTCTTCTTGTACTTTGCTACTTGTGTTATTTTGATCTCTTTAATTTCAATTAACTCAATTTTAACTATTAATTTTACATTTTGTGTCAATTTTGGTGCAATTAATAACGTCATTAGGATTTTTGACAGAAAATTATCACTGAGTTTGTTAAGTTATCACTGAATTGATTAAGTTTACAATTTTATCTATAAAAGCATGACACATGTTGTTCATGTACGCATTCATAGAAAATATTAACAATTAGAATCAATTAAACTAATTTGAGACAAAATCAAAAATTCAGAATTAAAATTAAACTAATTAAAATTAAAAAAACCAAAACAGTATAATTTACCCAATAATTAGATTTCTTTTTGTTTGATCAATTGTTATGGTTGGTTACACAATCTGAAAAATCTAAAAATCTAAAAATCTCCGAGATATTGATTTATGATTATATTTCAATTTTTAAATAATAAATAATAATCCCAATAAAACAATCAAAGACAAATCGACACAATGATTTAACGTGAAAAAATCACAATTAGAGTGTCTCCAATTATGATAAAAAAAAAAAAAAATGTAGGCTAAAACTAAGAAAATCAAAAAGTAATTATACATGTGTACCCTCACCTAGCGAATCCACGCCCAAATTGAACCGATCCTAATGTTCCTCTTCCACCACCGTCTTCACCTTGCAATTGTATTGTCCAACGTTGAATCCACAAAGCCAATGTTGAATCCATGACGATGAGCCACTCTGGAATCCACTAAAGTTTCAGGCCCAAATTCCTCAGAATTTACCGAAGAGCAACTCTCTCTTTTGTGAATAAAAAAAAACAAACAAATTTCTTGATGATGTTGATATAAAGTTCATAGATCCATTGATCATTTTTAAATCATTAAGGAAACACTCATAAAACACCCTCCAATATAAAACACTTTTTGTTTCTTCCTCTTTGAAAATTTGGACGACACAAATTCTAAAACGAGCAAAAAACGCACTTTATAGAAAACAGGATCGCGCAGACTGCTAGAGTGCACATTTCACCACTCGAGCGGTGTGCACTCTAGCAATGTGATTAAAGGCGATGCAAAACATATAGGTTGACCGCTCGACCGCAACTTTCACCACTTGAGTAGTAAAACTTTCTTCCCAGAAGTTCAAGTGCTCTAAAAAAGTACTGGATGATCATTTTTTTCGCTCGAACACACAAATAACCGCTCGAGTGGTCAAATAGCTCGATCTTTGTACATAGTCAACGAAGTAACAAACATGAAAGGATTAAGATCACAAATTCCTCTGCAATGCACAATTCAGGTTAGATTCACATCTAAACACTCGTAGCTTCATTGAAACAAAAATAGCGAATAAATTTACAATTGAAAGGAGTTTCGTCAAACGAGATTACCAATTTCAAAACCTAACACAATCTTTTATTTTCTTCATTTATTTGGCAGATGGGGAAGGTTTGAAACCTAATTTCAATCCGTGTAAAAGTAATTCACCCAGAGCCCATGGCAGTTGCCTAGAAATATCTGAAACAAAGCACTAAAGAGAAGACAAAGTGAATTGAAGCAGGCAACTACTTGTAAGGGGCTTAGAGGGCTTTTGGTATTAGTGTTTAGTTTTTCTTTTCTTTTATTTTTCTCAGTTCTTATTACAAGGAAAAATAATGATGTGATCACATCGCATGGGATTCACTTCTATTATGAGTAGATACTATTGTAAACGAGTGTGTTGCTATAATCTTACTCATGTATATGTAGGCAAAATTATGTTGCCCGTACACGTGGATTCAATTTCAAGTATAACTCATATATGAGAATTGAATAGATGTTTGTGTATTATTTTGATTTTATTTTTTAAAAGAATTAATTGGGTTATTCCAGTTATGAGAATTTATTGGTTTGACCATTGAGGGGTAGACTAATGGTGAAAATTTTGAAACAAAAAAGACACAATCCTTTCACATAAAGTAGGTCTCACCTTTTTATAGATCCACGTTCACATGAAAGAATTGTGTCTACTATAATTAATTTTTGTACTCTTAGAATAACTATACAAAATTTATTCCCAAATTCTCCTTGAGAGGCATTTTGATGGTAAATTACAGGGGTGTTTGGCAAAGGTTTTTTTTTTTTTTTGGGTTAAAATCTAACGTATAATCATTTTTTGAGGGTTTTTTGGGTTAAAATCTAACGTATAATCATTTCACTTTTTCTCTCACAAATATCACATCTAACTACAAAAAAAAATCTAACTATCTTCCCAAATAAAAAATTTTAGTCTACTAAAATAGACAAAAACTAAAATAACATACTAAAATAGCAACTTCCCAAACACCCACTACATCTACATGATAAATTAGTTGGACTGCAACCAGTGGCGACTCTAAAATTTTTTGTAGATGGGGTCACTCAAAAAATTTAAGCTCCACATTTAAAATTTTCCACCTTCAAATAAAATAAACTTCTAATAAAACACTATCGTCACAAAAAGGACCAATGGGACACCGGAATTGCATCAATACTGAAACAACAAGAACCAAACAAGCATTCCTCTGCACAGCTTCAAAAGATGTTTCTGTAATTTTTTTATTTTTTTTAGATCAGCAAAATGAAATTTATTGATGCTTCAAAGCAAAAACATCTTAGTTTTCAAGAAGACATCAATGAAACAAAACTATGGAAGAAACTGCATCATAGCTAAAACTAAGAACATCGCCACCTATGAAGCACGGGTGCGGGTACGAGTACGGTACGGGTACGAGTACGGGTACGCCGATATGGCAAAACCCCAAAAAAGTAGGGTACGGGTACGGCTGCAGTACGTTGATATTTTTTTATTTTTTATAATTATGGTTAAAAGATCCAACGTACAAATTGAAGTTAAATATCAAAACTAAAAAGAGAACTATAAAGCTAAAAGACAAATATTAATATATTTGAATTCAACATAACATAACCAACACCAATTCAGTCCATAATCCAAGCAAAGGAAAAACAACCAACACCAAAAGAAAAACAAGGCCAATTCAGTCCATAACACAAGCAAAGGGAAAAAAACAAAAGAAAGCCCTATATATCTAAACTTGACACTTCAAAGTTCACTTCCATCAACTTCATCATTGAATAAAATAGCTTCCATCTTTGGCTCATCAAGTGAAAGATTTGCAATTTCAAGGAAACTAGAACCCTCCAATGAATCAAATGCATCTCCCCCAACGTCCCATAACTTGGTCTCTCCTTCTGTGTATAGTTGACTCCTCCTTGATAAGAGACGAATATTGGAGTGCACAAAAACCAAATCCTCGCACCGTTGTGGTGTCATTTTATTCCTCCTCATAGAGTGAATGAAAGAGTAGGTGCTCCAATTCCTTTCACAACATGATGAGGAACATGGTTGGCTAAGTAATTTCACTGCCAAGGATTGGAGCATAGGTGCAGAAGAGCCATGTGCCAACCACCAAACCACTGGTTCCATTACTCATCTATCACATATTGAGTCAGAGTCACTAAAACTTTCCAAACAACCTAAAAACTTCGCATACTCTGTATTAACAGCCCTTCTCTCATCTGAATCAGGAAAGTATCTCTTAAAACACTTGATTCTCATCTCAGAAATTTCAACATCTTTGTGAGGAGGAACACGAATGGGATTTTCATGAAGCCACATCCCACTATAATACCTAGATTTCATAATTAGAAAAAAATAATAAGTAAATTATGCAATGAAAAAAATTAAAGTATAAACCTTGGATTCATGAGTCAAATGTGAATTATACCTTGGATTCAAGGAATGAGCAAGGCAATGATGAGGTGTGCTACTTTTTGTCCACCTTTCCACTAATATTTGATGCACTACAGAATAAAAGGATGACTCTTCATTTTCTGACTTCCCTTCACGCCTATAGATGGATGCCTTCACCTATTCAATCATTGAATCCCACATCTCACAAACCAAATGTAGACATGGCTTATCAGTGTCACAAAATCTAAGCATCTCATAAATAGGCAATGTGAATGGGAGTATATATTCAATCTTATCCCACCAAACATCATTCAACAACTTTTCCTTTACAACAGCTGCTTTCCCAACATCATCTTCCTTGTAAGAAGCCCATTTGTCACTTATGACCATTGTTTGGAGACCATGATATATAAGTTTAAACCTTTTTAGCATAACAATTGCAGATGCAAAGCGTGTATCTGCAACAGAAAGTAGCTTCAAAGGTACAAACTCATTAAAAATAGCTAATCTCATAGAATGATTCATGATGAAATTTTTCACAAACATTACATCATCAATCATAGTAGTGATCCAATGGCATTCATCATAAGCATATGCAGCAACTCCAACTTCCTTCGCAGCACAAATGTTCTTAAGAGCAAGATTAAGAGTGTGAACTACACAAAGTGTCCAAAACATCTTCGGATAATTACCTTGAATAATTGATCCAGCTGCACTACAAACTGGAGCATTATCAGTAATTACCTGAATTACATTATTAGGACCCACTTCATCAATCACTTCACTAATTAGTTTGGCAATATGATACTTGTCCTTGGTCTCACCCTCACAATTAACAGCTTTTATAAGCATAGCTCCACCATTACATGCTGCCATAAAATTAATGAGAGGCCTCCTTTGTGCATCAGTCCATCCATCAAATACTATACTCAACCCCTTCTCATCCCATGACTTCTTAGTTGGTTCCAATAACCTTTCAATATTTGCCCTTTCTTTTTGAAGTAAGGTAGTCCTCAACAAATTATATCCAGGAGGGACATACCCAACAATTTGATTCTCAGCAGCATATTGAAAAGCATCCACAAAGTATGGATTTCTAGCCAAATAGAAAGGCAAACCGGCTGAATAGAACATACGGACAATTAAAGAATGTAAATGCTCTCTAGCACTTTGATTGAATGCCCTATCTAAAGGACTACTCCCAATTGCCTTTCTCTTTCTTGGTGCATAACCTTCCGTTCTAAATGTTCCAACATCTTCTACACTGTCGTGGCTAGCACTAATTTGAGAAGATGGAGGTGGTAAAGGAACGTTTTTTGGCTTTGCCATTTTTTTCTGGTTTTCAACTTCTTGATCTACCTTTTGAATTTCAAAAAGAAGATCACTCTTATTCTTCACAGTTGCACACACTCTAATTCCATGGCCAGTAAGTAGCAACAAATAGGCTCTAACTCTAGAATATGACCCTTGGTACTCAATGTTACAAAAATTACACTTAAATTTTGTATTACCACTTCCTCCTTCTCCCCTTTTAACTAATTTTGTAACATAACCCCAAAGAGGAGCATTTTCATCTCCAGATTGATCAATGGAAGGAGCAGAAGCACTTGCAACAGATGAACCTAAACTGCTTGATGAACTCATTTTCCTATAAGCATAAAAAATAATATTTTTGATGATTAAAAATAATATTTGTGATTAATTATTAACAATGTTTGTGATCTAATTTTTTTTTAACATCAGATTATAATTATTAACATCAGATTATAATTATTTGTGATCTAATTTTTTTTTAACATCAGATTATAATTATTAACATCAGATTATAATTATTTGTGATCTAATTTTTTTTTAACATCAGATTATAATTATTAACATCAGATTATAATTATTTGTGATCTAATTTTTTTTTAACATCAGATTATAATTATTAACATCAGATTATAATTATTTGTGATCTAATTTTTTTTTAACATCAGATTATAATTATTAACATCAGATTATAATTATTTGTGATCTAATTTTTTTTTAACATCAGATTATAATTATTAACATCAGATTTTTCATCTCTAATATTTATTATTAATATTTATTAGCATTTTCAGTATTAATAATAATAACTAAAGACGAAACAAGAAAAAAAAAATATTCAGAGATATATGTATACCTCTAATCTCTGCGTCGAAGAGGAGATTAGGGCAAAACAGTGATGAGGAGGGTGATCTGATCTCTGCATCGAAGTCGAAGCCGAGGGTCGAAGTCGAAGACGAGGGTCGAATCTCTGGGTCGAAGTTGAAGATGAGGGTGAGTGAGGGTCGAAGTCGATCTGTTTCGAAGTCACAGACGAGGGTGAGGGTTGAAGATGAGGGTGAGGGTCGAAGTCGATCACTGTTCGAAGTCGCAGAAGAGGAAAATGAAGATGGTCGAAGTCGCCTCTCTCTTTGCTTCGATGAGATGCAAAACAGTGATGAGATTAGGGCATTCGTATACGGTATACACATTTTTTCTTTTTTTAAAAATTTTTTTTTCTTAATATTGCTCCAGTACCCCTCAATTTTTCAGAAAATTTGATTTCTGCCCCCGACGTACCCAAAACGTACCGAAGGCGTACCCATGCCGTACTCGAGCCGTACCCATGACGTACCCAACTGAGGCAAACGTACCGAACTGCTTTTTGCCGTACCCGGTACGCGTGCAGCCGTACTGGTACGCGTACCCACACCCGCACCCGGTAAGTACCCGATGCGTGTATGACACTATTTTTGGAGTACCCGTGCTTCATAGATCCCAACAAAGTTAGCACCTCTAGCAACTGAAATCATATGCAATCCTTAGCTACACTAGACTTGCAGCTGGTAAGATACCAACTATGTGAAAAAATTAACATGTGAAGACCAAACAAGGACAACTTGCATACTACCCACTACTAGATCCAAAAAGTTGCCTTCTTTTTATTTTGCCTTTATGTTTTTAACAACCTCAATGTGAAACAAAAAGTCATTAATGGAAAAACCTGTGAAACTAGAGTTTGCTTTTGTCCATAGGGTTGACTGCACTTTTATTTCCTCTACCATTTGATTCCAACACAGTAGATGATTGTTGAAAATAATATCATTCCTTGATAGCCATAATTTCCAACAAATGCTAGCGAAAAGACCTTTCAAAATAATCTTTTTCAAATTGCAAAAGTTTGAATCCAAGGTGAAAAACCTGCAAGGTAACCTAGTCTGCTGGAGCGGTCCATTAAGGCTCACAATATCTCAGATTTTACTTCAGTCATCCTGTAGAGTCTCAAAGGTCACTCGAGTGGTATAAAGGCGATCATTCAATTATGAGTGTGTGTTTTGGATCAGATCTGGCTCGTGACTCTCCGATTATCATTCTTGTAGTGCAAAAAATAAAGAGGAAGAGTTCTAGTGAGATCCACACATATACCTCGACGAATTGAGAGTGATCTAGTGATCAAAACTTAATGGATTGAAATCAGCGAAGGTTTCTACTTCAATTTCACTCTCCAATAGTGGAGTTCTTCGGTGGATTTGATTCAACTTTTTGTTATCAGCAAAAAAGAAACTTTATTGATAAAAATCAAGGTAAGTACATGATACAACATCAATAAAGGATGTTGAGTGCAAAAGCATCATAGCAAGCAAAACCATCCCAACTATATTGGCACCAAAATGCAAGTCCAATCATATGCTAGTACCACACCAAGTTAGTGAGTAGCCAACCAAAGCACAAACAACAACAAAGTAACAAGCCAACAAAAGGCCCCCCAGTTTACAATATTCAACAAAGCTAAAAAGAATACCCCACTAGCATTCATCCTCAATAGCAGAAACAACAACCAAACCATTATCAACTAGAAACAACCACTAGGAGCAGCCATCCGCTCATCACCCTAACCTCTGATCGCCAATGCTGTTGCAATCTCAAACTGCCAATTCATTAATTTTCAATGCGTCTCCTGACCCAAGAGCTCAAAACAAAGCAGCAGAAACATAGCAGTAGGCGCCAACTCTTACTACCAATATTGGTTATCAATTCATGCACCAAAAAACAACCAACTTCCACCTTAGATTTAACCCACACTGCCACATTAAGCTTGATTTTTTTCGCACAAAGCAAATCCATCAAAACTCTTCCCTTTGAACAACATTGCATTATGGATTCGACGTTGGAAAATCAATTATGAGATGAAGATGGTGTTGGAAGAGGCATTACACTAACTCTTCCCTTTTATTTACTGCTTTTTTCTTTTTCGATGTGGTTTCATAGATGTAGATAATTACACTATGAACAATGTTAACGTGCATTACCATTGCTGAGATTGAAGTACAAGTGGAATACGAAACTTAAGAAAACATATTCCATAGTGTTGAACTGGTAAAAATCTGTATAAATGAAACTATGAAGGGTAAATTACACTAACACCCCTGAGATTTGTAGCGATCCCAGTTTTGCCACTTCGCTGAGTATGTCAGGGATCGAGCTGCCCAGTCAGATAGTGGGGGTCCAAGGGGCAGTGCCCCTAAAGCAAAAATGCAAAATGCATTAGAAGTTGCTTGTCCGCTCGAGCAGCCATTTATGCGCTCGAGCGGAGAATGTTTGATTTCAGAAGTTTGACCTGTCTGCAAAAGTACTAGGAAAGTGTATTTGACGTTCGAGCGAGACTTTCCACGCTCGACCGGACCATGTTATATTTCAGATCACTTTTGTATATATCTCTCTCTCTAAAAACATTTCCTCTCCCTTCTCTCTACATTTCCTTACGCCAAATTGGATCAAAACCTTGATTTCTCAAGATCCATTAGAGTTCTGCCATAGGTTCTTCATCAAAGTTGGTCAACTTCTCGAGAGCTTCGTTGTGTGCGGTGAAGATCGAGTTTCGACACCGTTGATTTTGGGGGTTTCATTTCATTTCTTCTTCAAAACTTGATGCAGGGATTTTCTTAGAGTTATATATATGTTTTTGCAAGATCTATATGATTTTCGAAATCATCTTTCGATAGCTTTGATTATTGATTGTTGATTCAAGAAGTTGAGCGACTTTGAAAGTGGGTTTGTCTCTTATTCTTTTAAAATGATGTTATGGGTTTTGATCTTCGTTGATTGAAGAAAAGATGATTTTGAAAAGTTTTTTTTCAAAAGATTTGAGTTGTATAGTTTTGGTGAGAAAACCTAGAATTTGGGATTTTTTTTAAGAGACTAAAAATCCATGAATGATATTGTTATATTTATTTTGTGTATCAAAATAAATGGATATGTTTGGAAAATTTCTTATTTATATTTATATAAATGATGAATTTCAGGGAATATGAGAATTATTGTTCATTTTGGAAATTATTGTTCAAAACGTTGAAATAGTCTTGAAATGCCTAATTGTTAAGGATACTTGAGAAGATGGAATTGTGTTATTCCTTGGATGATGAATTGGAATAAAATCATTTATATTCATTTTGTGTTATTGGCATATCAATTCATTTGATTACATTAAATTTTGAAAGTTGATTTGAAAACTTGCATTGACAAAAGAATGTTGAGAAACAAGTTTTCATGGAATGGTTTTGGGGTAAATACGTTGGTAAGTCTTGATAGGTGGTGTAGATGATATTGAATAAGTTGACCTGAGAGTCTGGAGTGAAAGACCGAAAACCCGCACGGATAGGTGTCGAGCCTTCTAGTTAATACTGGTAAAAATGACAAATTGGTAGTACTCGTATAGTCTACTTGCAGACACCGACCTAGGGATTACCAGAGTCTTATTTACTGATCTTGAAATGAATTGTTAAGTTTTGAAGAATTGAAATTGCATGACATCATTGAGCATGAGGGTTTTCAAAGGTGAAGATGTGATTTTCTTTCAAAAGAGGATAGCATGGCATGTGCATTTCATCTCTTGAGACTTGTATAAAATGTATATACTTTGTTAAGGATTTTCTACTGGGCTTTATGCTCACCCTACAAGATTTTTGTACAGGAAAATATGTGGTGATGCCGCCAAACAAAAAGCGAGGAAATATGTGTTAAGAGTACGAGACTCTCATTTTGCTGTGACTTTGTGTATAAGCCAAGGGATATATGTGTGTGGGCTTGAATAACCATTTTGTGTAACCAGGTTCAAGCCTTGGAACTTGTAAACCCTTGGGGATATTTATTTGTTTATTTACTTGTTGTTGGATTAATGTATTGTTGCATGAAGAACTATTGTATCATGTAATGTAAGTTTGGAGATTTATATTTGGTTTTCCTTGAAAGAGCCATGATTGTTATATTATCATTTGGGCTAGAAATTTGGGGTGTTACATGTATTTGAAATTTTGGGATGAAATTCTTCAAGGTGGGAAAGTTGTATCGATCTCAGTTTTGCCACTTTGTTGAGTATATCGGGGATCGAGCCGTCCAGTCAGCTAGCAGGAGTCCAGGGGGCAGTGCTCCGTGGCGGTTCCAAGGGCAACGCCCTGGCGGGGATCAAGCTGCCCAACCAGCTCGCGAGGGTCCAGGGGGCTACGCCCTGGTGGGGTTGAGGGGCAGCACCCCCGAAGCCAAAATGCAAAATGCATTAGAAGTTGCTTCTCCACTCGAGCGGCCGTTTATGCGCTCGAGCAGAGAATGTTTGGTTTTAGAAGTTTGACCTA